CTGTCTTCTTTCGCTTCGGACTTTGATGTTAAGCTGCAGAGTGAGGGAGGCCCAGCTACCGACCGGCTGGTGCGCTTGTGTCCCGGGCCAGCTGATGCGTTGGCGTTGGACCTCCTCGTTCAGAAGAACTGCGATGAGCTGAACAATCAAAATCTCCAGTTTGTGGGCAGGGAGCATTTGATTGACAGGCCAGTGCGTGATTGTTTGACCATGTTCAACCCAAAATGCTCAGCGTGCAGGTTTTCTGCGCTTGGTGAAAGCGACGATGACAAGCGCAAGAGCCAGCTGCGCTACCAGGGCGTGACCATGTGCGCAAGTTCCCAGGGCTCGCGATTCGCAGGATTTAATCCAGTTGGCTTGCCAGCCGTCTATTGCCATGTGAACTCTGAGAAAGCGGTTTGCCTCATCGACCTAGAAGAGGCTGTCTTGTGGTACTGCGACAAAAACAAGCTGTCGGTTGACCCTGAGAACGTGCCACCTCTCAAGGACAAGCAGCGCTGTTGCATCATCTTATGATTCCTATTGTTTTATAGGCCCTACACCTACCTAAGCTTAGAAATCCATGCAAGTGTGTGCAGGAAGTCATGAAGTTTGTTGCGAGCCAGTACGTGAGCTCCGAAGATCCGCTGGAGTACTTGATATCGCTTCGCGGTGTCACATTAATTCCAGGCGACATCCTGTATATCCCCCCTTGCCAAGTGTTAGTCGAAAAGACGCTTCGTGGCAGTGCCGTGGGGATACGGGCCGCACCGTCCTTCTTCCACCAGCGCTGCTACGACCTCTGCAAACTATATCTGACAGTGCACTCTGGGTGTCTTGTTCTGTTTTGGCTACGATTGTTGCTTGTTGTCTTGGTAAAGTCACACACTCCAGCGTTCGTTCTAGTGATTCCCCTGTTTCAATGGTGACTGAGGGACTTCCACGCGAAGGTCATGGCTGAGGAGTTCCGCAAGTTGACTTTTCCAGATGGCCCGACACTGGCAGAGGCCATCGGCGTGTCACAGCCGAAGCTCAAAGAGAGTTTGCCAAGCAAAGCCGTTGCCCAGCCGGACGGCACCATGGTGGCTTGTCCCAAGAAGCTGCAGACGGATGAGCCCATGGAGGACATCCTCAACAGCTACGTGGATATGTGCGAGGAGGAGCGTCATGCGTTGGTCGAGCTCATGGACGAAGCCGAGTTGACATTGCACATCAACATGGCGAAGGTCCATCCCGAGTGCAAGAACTACGAGAAGTACGTCGCGGTCGACCTCCTTGGCAAGCCCTGGGACGAAGACGGGGGCAACAATCGGAGAATCGGAGGCGAAGGGAGACGTGTGCACGAAGACGTTTTTGGATGGTACGAGTTCCTGCAGAAGAAGAACATTAGGTTTCCTGCGGACTTCACCCGCAGCCTTGACGCATCCTCGTTGCGGCAATCGAAGGCAGACTATCTGAACAGCTTTGTGCACATGAGTGAGGAGAAGCGACTTGAGTTGCTCCAGGCGATGGATGAATCTGAGTTGGTTTCGGTGCATATCAACGCGGCAAAGGCCCATCCCGAATGCAAGAGCTATGAGACCTATGTCAAAGAGGTTTACGGCGCAGAGGATGATTACATGTTTGGAACACCGGATGGGGACATGCTACAAGACGCTCTTGGATGGTATCAGTTCCTTCAGGAGAAGAAGCTCGCGTTTCCCGCAGACTTCGAGGACACTGCAGTCCCTTCAACTTCCACACTTCGGCAGGCGGGGGTCTTTGTAGGGGGGCGGGGGGGCTACTTGGATGAATACCGAATAGGGGATAATAGGGGCAAGAGCTTTCGCTTCAGACCTGCTCTGTGGTGGGTGGGGAGACATGATTTTTTCGATTCTCAAAGCATTTACCCGATAACCCAATACCATAGTGATCCCGAGCTGGTCATACTCGCATGCCGCGAGGCTGGAGAAGTGCCGCCAGAGCACAAGTCTGCCGAGGTGTCGAGTCGCATCACTGTGATCTTGACCGCTAGTCATGTCGCGCAGGTCGTCGAAGCAGAACCAGCCGCAGCTGTGCATGCGGACGTTGTGGACCCGATTGTGGAGGTGCCGCAAGTGAGCAACCTTACTCAACTAGCCACCACCAAAGTCCCCGCCACACTGCAGGCTGTTGTGGAAGAGCCGGGAGTGCCGGTGCTGGTGCCGGCTGAGCCAGACAAGGACGATGTCTTTGAACGGCTGTTGTTCCTTACTGCAGTCGCCGGCCAACGTTGCGCAGGTCGAGCCGCATGAGCTGTTGAGTGCGGAGCAGGACGGATCGGTTCAAGCAAGTAGACGAGGGACTGCAGTGCTTTTGACCGTGCAGGCCCAAGCCGAGTGCCCGGAGCCAATCGAGGCTGAGGCAACAGCACCCTGGTAGCCGTGAGAATGACAGTCCCCTTGCCAGGAGACACTTCCACCGACGGTGAAGTTGCACGGCGAAGCAGAGAAGCAGGCGCAAGATTGAACTACCATCACTGAGTCCTTTTGCATAATGGTGTGTGTGTGTGTGTCGTGCGTGTAAGTCTGTGAAACATGTTTAGGGATACCTGGCTTCATGGTTCGTGCCTGAGCCTACAGGCCAAGGCGGCATTACGTTTGCGGTAGGTCAAGGTTTTCAAGTGAGCCTTTGCCAGGAGACACTTCCGCCGACGGTGAAGTTGCACGGCGAAGCAGAGGAGCAGGCGCAAGATTGAACTACCATCACTGAGTCCTTTTGCATAATGGTGTGTGTCGTGCGTGTAAGTTTGTGAAACATGTTTAGGGATACCTGGCTTCATGGTTCGTGCCTGAGCCTACAGGCCAAGGCGGCATTACGGTTGCGGTAGGTCAAGGTTTTCAAGTGAGCCTTAAATTTGGAATGTAACATCCTACGCCCTCTGCCCCCCCCCCCCCACACACGTACACACACATACTCTCGCCCCGGCGCAAACTGCAGAACAAAAGCAGGTCGAAGATGCTGCAGCAGCTGCAGAGCCAGACTTGACCGAGGCTAAAGTGACTTCGTGGACGTTATCCTTACACTCTAGCCCCCGCAATCATGCGCAGGTCATCGACGCTGAGGCCGAGCCGCTTGTAGAAGAGTTGCTGTCCGAGATCGACGACAAGGCCTTTTGAAGTTGCTGCTGCTGCTCCAACACATCTGCCTGATGCCGTCTTTGATTTTCCCGAGGGCTCCAGGTGCCTAAATAAGAGGGGGCTGGACCGTTGTGGGTTGTATGCCAAGACAGTTTTCCGGACATGTTCCAAGCTGTGTTGGTTTCTCCATCAACCATGACGAGGCCAGCGCAGCACCATCCGGGTCAAATGACAAGCCGAAGAAAGCCAAAAATGCCAAAAAGGAGAAGGAGCCGAAGTTGCCGAAGGCGAAGGCTGTTTTAGGGTCGGTGTTATGTAGGGTTTAGGTGGGTATTACCCCTTCACTGATTCATCAACGGTCAGGAAACAATAATCATCAGAATACAAGTGATACAAAGAGACCCAGTACAATACTACTCTTATCATGGACTATGAATTGGGTGAAGGCAGTGCCGAAGGTTCAGGTGTTCCGGTGTGTGTTTAGGACTGTTTGTTTTCAGTTGAAGTTGTGTTTGTAGGATGCTGGTGTCCGGGTCTTGAAGTTCCGCATAAACCAGATTCCGATTGCCCAAGGCTGACAAAGACAAAGACAAAGCTGGGGCAAAGTCGAAGCGAAAGAAAGATGCCGATGCGGAACCTGCTGAAAGCGGCAGGATTGCGAAATACTTGAAGCAGCAGAAGTAAGCATCATGGAATCATGGATGCTTGTTGCGGTCATTGTGCCTGATGCGAGGCGAGGGCCTAGGGAAGTATATACATATATGGTACGAGGTGCCCGATGCGTTGCAAGTGTACAAGAGGGTTGTGTGGTGCCGGGTGAGTAATCGCTGCGCAGCAGCCAGAGCCCTTCAGCTTTGCACATGTACTGGCCTGAGTAATCGCTGCTGTGTCTTTAACCAGCAGCCTCAGCTGCAAAGCAGTTGTTCGTTGCTTCCGGAACCACCGCCGAGAACTTGCCGAGTTGAGAAAACGGCGCTGTGTCCGCTCACCTATGATTAGTTCATGTGTTATTTTCCGTGAGGACATGAACATTTATGCAATGGGAATGATGAAACTTTTGTTTGATCGACTTCTTTTTTTCTGGCGATGAACTCTTCAATCCAAGCTGTGTCGGTGGATAGCCCGATCGGGTCGTTGCTGCACCAGGCTCCCTTGTACAAAACATCTTTTCCTGCTAGGTTTTTTCTTTTCGCTTCAGAACCCCGAATATTGAAATTTAGCAACTGTAAGGCTTAAGGGTATATTGTGGGGTTGAAGGGATCAGAAGTTTAAGAGGCTTGCGGCTCATGGGGTTTAAAAGTTTAGGGGGAACGGGTTTAGGGCTTTAGGGGTTGGAAGGTGAAGTTGCGGCCGGAAGCGTGGGGCCATGCATACTTCTCTACAAACTAGGCAAGAGAACAGCAAGAGCACCAAAACTTCACACACACACACACATGTGTGTGTGCGCACTCAACAGAAACAGTAGCGCTACCACAGAGTCGCCAAGTTTCATGATCCATGGGCGCCCAGACCTGGGGGCGCGTTGCAGCATACTTACATGGGGACTTTCAGGCACCGGTGCTCCTAAAGGAGCAGACAGTCTGTCAGGTTTCCATGCTCTTTGACTCTTTGGGGTGTATAGTAGGAAGCCCTAAGACCTAGGACCTAGGACCCGGATTTTCCCGGCTCTGGAGCTGGCAGGCTTTACGGCTCCTTCTAAAGGCTGCTGCAATGGTACTATGAGGGTTCCTGTTCCCAAAGGCTCCATGTACCCATATAGTATATACTTAGGCCTGAAAGGGGTTCCTATATAGGTACTTTAGGGTCTAAGTATATACTATATGGGCACATGGAGCTTCTGGGGTTTAGCGTACTTAGGACTGTTCACAGGGCCAACAGGTCCCACAAGAAGTCAGTCTGCAAAGGCTTCGGGCAAAGAACTAGTCCTTGAGCAGTGTAGGGTGGAGTGCTTCGACTAGCCTAAAGCCTAAACCCTAAGAGGTTCGTCAAAGGAGAAGGATCTTCCACCTTACCAGGACGGTACTTCCTGAATCTGGTCGGGATTGAGGCTTTGGGACGAAAAGACATCCCACACATGCATGTTACAAATGCAACAAGTTCACCAAATAGCTGTAAACAAAGCCTGGCTGTGGCTATCATGTCTATAACTCGACTGTACAACCCTTCGCAAGACTCCAAAACTGGACGACAGAGCCTGGGCACTTCGTGGCATAGGGCGTCTCTTGCGCACGAGTACATACATACACACGCAGACTTGTATATGCATGCGCAACCTTGAGCACAGGTGTCTCCATGTAGACTCGTATGTATGTATAGAAGTGTGTATATATATATACACAACACATAACATATTCATATGTACGTAGACACATACTTCCATGTGTGTGTGTGTGTGTGTGTCTGCGTGTGCCTTTCATCGTACAGGTTTAGGACTAGTTCCATAAGGTGAAGGTACATGGATTACACCCACTCCTGCAACAAGCAGTGAAATTCGCTCAGGCAGGGACAGCACAGCTGCACGGCGAGCCTCATTGGCGGCAACCTTCACATGCCAGTCGTAGCCAAGTCCATCTGAAGCCCTGAAACCCCAAAGCCTTACGTATCAAGGTCTTTGGGCGCAAAGGTATGTATACACATATGTGTGTATATATATATACACACACCTTATAACATATATATATATATATATAGATATACATATCTATATCTATATCTATATATATATATATATTGATTGATTGCTCGTACAAACCCCTGTAACCACCAGCTCAGAGTCTAGAGCTTAGGGTTAGGAGCCAAGGAGACCAAACACACTTAGCCTCCAAGAGCACATGGAGTGTCCATTTAGGTCCGAACTCATTCAACTTCACACTGTGGGGGTGGAAGGGGCCCGTATGTTTGACCCTGAATCATAGGGCCATTTCTGGATGAGCCGTTTGACGCTGAATCAGCCAGGGGCCAGAAGCAAGAGAACATATTTAGGTAGTAATGGCTCACTGAAGGGTTTACAGTGTTAGGCTTTAGGGCGTAGTGTCAAGGTTCCTAGGGCTGTAAAGCTTGAGGGTGGACGGCTTAACCCGGCTTGGAGCTTTTCTTTCACGTCAGTGATGGCATCACGGCTTCCAAGATCTTCGAACGAGACAAGGGTTTAGGGTGTAGGGGTTGAGGGTTCAGGATTTAGGGTTTAGGGTTTTAGGGTTTAGGGTTTAGGTTTAGGGTTAAGGGTTTAAGATTTAGGGAACACTTCACTGCCATTCAGACACATTTCTGACAGCCAGCCTCCAAGACGAAACTTCAGAGCCTTGCCCCTTCTGACAAGGGACTCTGGTCTCCATGTTAGCTTTGCCATACGAAACCCGAAACCAAAATCCTGAAACCCCTAGCCGCTGAACCCCAAGACTGTCGCGAAGAAAGGGTTTAAGGCTGAGGGAAACTAAGGGTTGAAGGTTCAGGGGGAAATAGGGGCTTGAGGTTCAGGGTTGACGGAACTAAGGGTTGAAGGTTCAGGGGGAAATAGGGGCTTGAGGTTTAGGGCTCACGGAACCTAAGCTCCCAAAGCCCTGAACATATCAGAAATAAACCATCCAAACCAAACCTGCAGTGAACCTTTAACACCGTTCGATTCCCTGAAACCCTATACTAAAACATATACTACCTTCCTAGAACCCTAGGAACCCTTAAAGGAGCCCTTGGAGCATTCCTTGAAGGAACCCTTTCCTCAAGGACCAAATGACCCCTAAAAGTAGGGGCCCTATACCCTTATACTAAGAATCCCTATATGGTTTATGAACCTGAAACCCTTTTAGGGTTCATTCCGTCTTTAAGGCTTTAAAGCACCACCAAATAAAAAAAATCACCCGGCCGTCTCGGAAGAACCCAGGCCGCCCTCGCCGTAGAGGAAAGTCCGGGCTGCAGCTTCCGCATCGAAGGCCTCGTGAAGGGTTTAGGGGTTTAGGGGTTTAGGGCTTAGGGGTTTAGGGGTTTAGGGTTTGGGAGTCTAGAGGTTTAGGGTTTTGGGGAGTCTAGAGGTTTAGGGGTTTAGGGTGAGGATTGTAGAGCTTTAGGGCGTAGGGCTGGCTTCTATGAGGCTTTGGGGGTTTTTCTGTGTGGGTTTTGCATTTTGCTTGGCCTGTTGTGTGTTTCATGAGTGCTACTTGGTTTCCTAAATTTTCCCT